TTCTTTAGCTCTATCTCAACTCCAGAACTCTATCTGAACTATACCGAGGCCCCGAGTGGAATTTGCACTTCAATTTTAAAGTACACAGGTTAAAACTCATAAATTTCTCTCTTTCTCCCATAGAATATATACCAATTCTACAGAAAGGCCAAGCAAAGTGCCCATACTAGCCCTTGACTAAGACTAAGAGTAAAGGAATAATAGATGTAAAAGAGGCTAACTTTAGCCACTAATTCCATTAATAAAGCAATAAAACTACAGAAAATTTTCTACATCAACAAAAAAAAACCACCCACACAACAATAAAATTAAAAAATAAAAAAATAAAAAAATTCCTAGAAATGAAAATGAAAGGGATAATGATTACCTGCTGTCTCCATTGAGAAATTGAGGCCCGAAGCAAAGTAACGAAGAGAGAAGGATCCATGGGTTCACTCGTCATCTCAACAATCACCCCTCCATGATCATCATTTCTCCCCGCCAATATCCTGTCCACTTGTTCCGCCTGTTTCTCCGGCAACGACGCCGCCGACGAACTCATCGATGAACACCGCGTACTCAGGTAAGTCCCAATTCTACCCTTCTTCAATCTCCCTGAAACAAGAAAAACCCAGAAAAGATTTACCCAAATTAGAACCGAAAACTCAATGTTCTATAAAATAAATAAAGCAAAATCAACCTTGAGCTCTGAAGGGTAGTTTAGGCGTTCGAAGGGTGAAGAATGAACGACTAGAATGAGAAGAGACGGCTCTGCCGGCGGTACAGAGCATGGAGGTTTTACACAATAATTTGATTACCATTTTTGTATTTATGTATATATTATATAATTAATGAATTTCAATTTTAAAAATTAGCAATATTGAACTGCCTAAAGTGATAAATATCAAAATTTAATTATTTTTTGTTTAGAACAGACCAAATTGCCATATAGGATACGGCGGCCGACGGCGATGGTCTGAAAACAACTGAAACAATTTTATTTTATTTTTTGCAATTTATTTGCATATTAATAGATTTGGTTAGTTCGTTTGCCGTTAATAAGGGGGTGAAAGTTGACTGGTCCGGCCGGAAGAAGGTGAGCGTGCGGACCAGGCTGTGACCGGGTCGCGTCTGTGACGGCCCGTTTTGGGTTTTTTTTTTTTTTTTTTAAAGGAAAATCTCTCAAAAAACACTTCTAACTTTTTTATTGAAAAAAAAAAAACAAAAAAATAATAAACATCATGACTGCCTAGTCCCTACTAAATTATTATGCCCTTTATAGAGTAAAAAATGGGGGTAGGATTTAAGAATTCACGTAGAATTACTCTTTTTTTAGTAGAGAAAATTTTAATTTTGGTCACATGACTATAAGGGCTTTGCTAATTTCAGCATCTAACTTTCAAAAGTGTCAATTTAGTACCTTGAGTATGTAATTTTTGTCAATTTTGGTCACTCCGGCCAAATTTGGCCGGAAAATTTTAATCCAATATTTAGTCTAAAATTTGAGGGGCAAAATGATCTTTTCCATCCTTTCTCCTAATTGGTGTTGACCGAATGAAGTTGTTGACCAGGTTCAATTCAGACACATTTACCACCAAAGACGTCGTCGAATCTGGGCAAGAACCGTCGGGAAGTCTGGATCGGTGGATCTATTCACGCTCACCGGGTTAATGGAGTTCTTCTTCTCCGAGGCGCCGGTGAGCATGAGGTCGCTGGCCATGGGGTACTATCTGAGCACGGTGATCGTGTCGGTGGTGAATAGCGTGACCGGAAACTCCACCCACCGGGCGTGGCTTTACGGTGAGAACTTGAACCATTACCGTCTGGAGAGATTCTACGGTCAACACCAATTAGGAGAAAGGATAGAAAAGACCATTTTACCCCTCAGATTTTAGACTAAATGTTGGATTAAAACTTTTTGGCCAAATTTGGCCGGCAATTTGGCCCGAGTGACCAAAATTGACAAAAATTACATACTCAATGTACTAAATTGACACTTTTGAAAGTTAGGTGCTGAAATTAATAAAGCCACTATAGTCGTATGACCAAAATTGAAATTTTCTCTTTTTAGTACTATTAACTATGTTATAATGTATTATTTGTCTATACATATTTTCTCAACTTACTTAAGCACAAAGAGTCAATGACCTCACTGAAGTTCGAACTTGTGAGCTCCCATTTGGGAGAGCTCGTTTGGAATGCATGAAAATATTTTCTGAAAAATTGATAATTTTTCATAAAATATTTTTCTTTCTCGTGTTTGGCTGCACAGCATAAAACTGTCTTTATGCGTTTGATTCATTTTCTGAAAAATAATGTAAAATTGTATAATTAAACATTTTATATCATTAATTATTTTGTTTAAAATATAAAAAATTTATAATAATATTATAAATAATAATATTTATTTGTTTAAATCAAATAATATTATTTAAAAAAAAAAAAACAAAACAAAACAAAAAAATGACGAAAACCATAGAGTACAAAACTATCTGGTTTTTACCGTTCTCTCTGGTGCCCGACCAGAAACCAGAGGCAGTGATTGTCGACCAAAGAAGCCTTCTGGAAAATGACTTCACCCCCCCCCCCCCCCCCCCCCCCCCCCCAAAAAAAAAAGGAAAGTCATTTTCTAGAAAAATGATATTATTTTTCATTGATCATAGTTGATTTTCCTTTAACTTTTCATTTTCCTATCTAGCCAAACACCAGAAACCCCCGAAAATGATTTTCATAAATCATTTTTCGAATTTTCAAACACACCCTTAGTTGAATCGCAATAAAATTTCAAATTATAGTAAATTTTTACTGGTAATCGATTTCTAATTTCTGGTTTGATGCCGGATACTTTCAAGTTTCAACTTTTAAAATTCTTTTTTTTTTCTTTTTATCTTATAAGTATTGTGATATTTTGATTTTTTTTTAACTATTGATTTGGACAAATGTTATTTTCTACGCCTTGGTGAATCTTGGATTCCCCTCAAATCTATAACCCTATTTGGTGAAACTTGAATTCCTTTGGTTGAATTCCTTTCGTTGAATTAGTTCTGTATTTAAAGACTAAATAAGTAATATAGGCAAAACAAATTAAATTAAATATAGGGAAAATGTGTAGTACACCCGAACATTATACGAGAAGTGAATTAGACCTCTGAACTTTTAAAAGTTGTAATTAAGCATTTAAGCACATCAACGTGTCAATTTAGTTGGCAACCTTCAGGGGAAAACTAATGATTATTCGTTGATCATCAATCGCCGATTTTTTTTTTCCTGGAGGTTGTCGAAACATCATCGGAACCCTAGCGACCTACTATTATAGGTCACTTTCTAATTTTTATGCTTCAATGCAGTAAATTTACATATTGATGTGCTTAATTGCAACTTTTAAAATTTCAGATATCTAATTAACTTCTTGTATAAAGTTTGAGGGTGTATTTAATCATTTTCCCTTAAATATATAAATAATTAGAGAATGCTTGTGAACATGCAAGTATTGCTAAAATAGTAGAAAGAGAATAGTATGCATGTTGGAAATTTCGCATATGAGTAGTCATTTTGAGCACTAGCCTGATGAGTTCGGCCTTGCATACCGAACTGATGGGCCGAATTATGTCGGCTCGGCCTGCAGCCAGTAATTTTTCTCACTGTTCTAAGATTAAATTCATCAGTTACTCAATTAATGCATCAAGGAAAGATTGGAAGATGGAGCCTCATCATCAAAAAGTCGCATTTACCGAGAAAAAAAAAAAAGAAGAAGGATCAAGAATGTTCTATATTTCAGGAGCTAGATCAGTTTCCAATTTTGAATTTCTAATTTAATCTCAGGTAGTGGCCTACTGTTTCAGATGTTACAAACTTGTTTTTATATCAGTTTAAATCTCATGCATTGAAGGCTATTGAACTCCTATAACCCTATATAAGGAGTGGTAGAGCAGCGAATTTTTAACATAATGAAATCATATTTTTCAAATTCTGCTTCTATTCCTTTCTCGCCAATTGTGTTCTTACTTTGCTCTAATTCGTCGGGTTCATTCCTTTGGGTGCTCAAACGTTGAACCATAGTACGTTTTATCTTGGGAAACCTAGGCTACAACGCTCTTAGCACTTGTGAGAGGTAGCAAATAAGGTTTTAAGGAAAGAGTGTTTCGCTCGACTCATGGTCGTTCATCTGAAACATTAATCTCCATTACTATATAAATCTCCAACATAATCCAACAATAATTTACATTTTCGTCGTCATGCCACATGATTTTTATTTATTTATTTCTAGATCAATTTTTATTCTACAATAATCAAACAATATAATGTACAAATGTATGTGGTAAAAAAATCTTTATTAGCCTTTTGTCATGCATAGTATATGTACCCAAATTAAACTAATATTCAAGAGTTTATTTACTAGATTTTCTTCTTTGATTTATTACATTGAACGGCATTTTTTGTCCATTTGATCGTGTAATACAGTATTATTGATCGACATCAATCTCAATAGTATCGTTACATTCAAATATATAATAGTCCAAATATTTATTTATTTATTTATTTATTTATTTTACATTGCTATCGGCACCTAACAATATATTGCACAAGTATACGATCAAATAAATATTAACACACTTTGAATGGACTCTGTAAATATATATATTATACAATTTTAAACATGGATAACTCAAAATTAAGTTGGCCCACTCCACAAACAAAAATCAGGTTTTTGCAGGGCATCCTATCTTCTCATTCTCTCTCTTCCACTCCATCCAAAATCTTCTCAAAAACTTAGCACAAATCACTGTTGTCATTGCTCTAACTGAGTCTCGGACTCTCAGTCAAGTCACAATCACCCACCCTCCCGAGAGTATTGCTACAAAAATAACATATATACTCCGTATAATATTGTTATTTTTGTTAATTTCAAACTACTAATTAAAAAATGAATTCCCCCTTTTTCCTTTTTGTTTTTTATTTATGTAAATGACAATCGATTTTGCCGCCAAAAACAATACTTTTAAAAAACATAAAGAAATGATTCAATCAAAGAAAGCTTCAGAAATCCTGGCGAGTTCTTGTTGAAGTTCGAGGATATCTGCGCGGGCTCGCTCCCTTTCTTGGGCGTCGACGTTCCCTGCAGATAAGCTCTTTGATCTGTTGGAGATTTTTCTGTGAATGCTCCTTATCTTCCTGTAAGGCCATCGCAACAGCCCATCTCTCCTGCAAATCTTCTTCATAACTGTTGGGCATATGTTCATTCTTCTCGCCGCTTCCTCTATGGGCAGATGAAGGTACCCTGCGAAGTCTTTGAGTCTCAGCTTCCCTGTTCTTTCCCTCTGAGCTGAGAGGGGGATCTTCTGGGCTTTAACTTCTGCTTCTTCATTCTTTTCATTATGATTATTCCCTGTTTAGTTTAGTTTGTCAAGAATATATATAATGCACGGGCATCTATCACTTTGGCTGCAATGCAAATACCTTTCTCTAATATAATGGAGTTTGGTCAACAAGAATTGAGAAGAAGCCCTATGGGGCTGAGTTGAATAGTCCAAGAGTCATCTTAGAAATCTTGTTTTAGCAGAGCAAGGTGGGCTTGGTTTGATTCCCACTTAAGATACGGGGGTTATTGGGAGACCCAAACTCAAAAAACCTAATTAGAGGTGATGAAGACTCCTTATGCACAGAGTATATAGATGGGAATTAAAATTGACAACTGATTGGGATTACCTCCTCCAGTGCCCTTGGCCAGGAGTTTAGGCAAGGATGGAAACTAATAGTTTTGATTGAGTTTATCTCCTCTAGAGTTTTGGAGGTTTAGGATTAGTCAATTGACAACTGATTGGGTTTACTTCCTCCTGCGCCCTTGGGCAGAAGTTTTGGAGGTTCATCAAATCAAATCAGAGATGTAAATATAAATTGGAAGTTTTGGAGGTTCATGATTAGTCAATTGACAACTGATTGGGTTTACTTCCTCCTGCGCCCTTAGGCAGGAGTTTTGGAGATTCAGGATTAGTCAATTAACAACTGATTGGCTTTATCTTCTCTAGTGTCCTCGGCTAGGAATTTTGGAGGTTTAGGATTAGTCAATTGACAATTGATTGGGTTTACCTTCTCTAGTGTCCTTGGACAGGAATTTTGGAGGTTTAAGATTAATCAACAGACAATTGATTGGGTTTACAAATTGAGAAGAAAAAGTATAGACACCTGAATGTGTAGTAGGGGGAAGTTGGAAGAAGTTGTCAATGTCCATATCTTCACCCCCTCCATGACCAACACTCAAAGCTTCATAGAATTCCCAGAGTGGATCTTCAAGCACAACGTATCCCTCCTGTTTGCGATCCTCAAAATACCCAACTAAGAATTGCTTCACTGCACTCATGCTTTCCTGGGAAAAACTGGAACTCAAAACATTAAGAACTCATTTAAGTTACAAATTTAGGATCAATAATCTCCTTACTCAAAGGTCTGGTACTCGGGATTTTGAGACAAAAAATCCAAACAGCATTTCTCTAGTACTGCATGAGCGATCATCCCGAGGCCTCCATGAATCTCAAGCCTCAGCATATACAAACCTAACAAAGCGATCGATCACAAAATACAAAATGAGATTCTGCAGAAACTTAACAAATTCAAGAACTTCATTCCAGTACACGCACCATTGGTATGAGTGATTTCTCGGAGAACTTGACAAGAATTATTACATATAGATGCCATTGCCGGCGGCCAAGCGGAGATCGGCGTAGGATTTTCCACGTCCTCCGACCAGACTTGTGGAACATCCTTAACTTCTCCAAACGTTGTAGAAGAAAGAACAGCAGGATCCACTAGGGGATGGGAGGGGTATGCAATATTATCTTCGGCGGCGTAATCGCCACCGTCGAATGGAAAATCGAAATCAGATTGCGGGGAGAAGAAGGAGGGGATTTCACCGGATTGATCGAAGGGCAAATGATGATGATGGGGATCAAAAGGGTGGTGTTTGTGGTGATCGTAGCAGGGGAAAAAGGCAGAGCCAAGAGTGGTGGAAGGGTCTGCCATTTTTCCGGCCCCGTTGGGGCGAGAAGACTAAGCTGAGTTGGCGGCAGATCGAGACGGCGGAGGGCAGGCCAGGGTTAATCAGCGTCAGACTGAATGAAATTATGAGAGTTTGGAAATGGAAACAAAGTGATGAATGAGGCGGGAAGAAGGCGGCGGTTAATAACCGTTAGTTCAATCAAAGTATTCGAGTTTAAATTTGAGTTTTAGCATTAAGCCGTGTTTGGGAACCAAATTATTTTTGCGTTGCGTTGTATGTTAGTTTAACTCACATGATGAAAACAAAGATAAATAATAATAATAATAATAATAATAATAATAATAATAATGTAATGGTCTGTTTGGTTCGCGAAAAATATTTGAGAGGAAAAGGAATTGAAATTTCATGGAAAAACAATTACTAGAAAGATTTATTCCATTGTTTAGTTGGCAGAAAATAAATTACAAGGAATATTGATTATTTCATTGTTTGGTTGCATTTGAAATTGTAAGGAATATAATGAGTATTAAGACATATAGCTTCTACAATATAATAATGATAATAAAATTAAGAATGAATCATAAGGGTAACATAATCATGTCGGTTCACTTTTTGTTTTCAATTTGTATGGAAAATAAAATTTCAACCCTCTTGAAAAACTGGCTCTCATAACTAAAGAATCTTTTTTTTTTTCAGTGAACCAAACGGTCAAATTAAAAAAAAAAAAAAAAATTTCTTTGGAATTTTTTTTCCATCAAATCAAACACCCCATAAAGGAAAATGATATTCCCTCCGCCCTAAAGTTTTCTTAATGTTTTCTCTCATTATGTGACTTATATTTATTGAGTATCACATAAGAATGAAAAATTAAGAAAGAAATTTTTGGAGGAGTACGTGTGTAGCATCACTCTAACAGTCTAGCGTATATATGTGTGAATAAAATTTGAGTTTTATTTGAAAAAAAAAAACATCAATCTAATATTCATATATATATACTATAAGTTTTTACGGAAACAGTTCATTTTTATCATAAGCTTGTGATTCCATTTTTTTTATGACTCCATTTATTTAGTTGATTATAAACCAACTAGGTTAATGTATTTTTGTGCCCCACTTCTTATGGGATGTTGTCATGACCTTTACCCTTGATCACAATCTTGGAGTTGCTTTTGAAAAGTTTGAATTACCATTTTATTAGTAAATAATTGTGTGGGGGCTAGTATTATTTTGACATGTGTTGGGTTTTAGATCCAAGAATGGCTTAGATTATTAGAACGCTATGGCCCTAACATGAGATAATTGGTTGGATTTCAACTTTATTTGAATGGATCGAATGCAATGTAATAGTGAATATTTGAAGAAGAAAGGGCTCAAAGCAACTTAGAGCTTGTAAAGCTAAAAATAGAAAGGAATAAGGGTCAAATATGTCACTAAACTGCATACCAAGTTATAATTAGGTTATCGAATTTAAAAAAATATATAATTGGGTCCCTAAAATTACACAAATTTATGCAATTAGATCTAAAATGACCCGTTTACCTAATACTTTGCTGACGTGGAGGTTGTGAATTTTAAAAATAAGTTTAAACAAAAAATTTAAAATAACTAAATAAAAAAACATAACGGCCGGAGACGATTTCTTCGTCTCCGTGGCAGGAGACGAAGACCTTTCAGGTGTATATTCTTTGATTTTTTTAACAAATAAATTTTGGAAAAGAGTGTAATATGTTATCCAATTATTGATTAAATAATAATTAAATTAAACCCTCAAATTTTAAAAAATTACAACTAATAAACGCTTAAACTAAGTAAAATCGTCTATCTAAACTTTACCAATAACCTTTAAAATGATGATGTAGCAAACTTTTGCTTACATGTCATTTTTTATCTGACAATTGTACGATATCATTGTCCAACTTGCCATCTTGCCTTCTCCAAATCTGAATAAGATGATCGCCACATTGCCTTCTCCAATCAAAGAAGACTATGGCCTTCTTTGATGGAAGAAGGCAATGCAACTGTTGGCACAATGTTGTCCCCAACAACGATTGAGTGGTGATGACAAGGTGGTGACGACAATAGGGACAGAAGGAACTAATGTTGAAGAATATAAAATAAAATATTATAAAAATAATATTTAATAGGAATATAATGCTAAGGTTGTGTTTGGAAACCCGGAAAATGAAAGTCATTTTCCGGGTTTCCCATGTTTGGCAAGGCTTGGAAAACCCAGTCAACGAAAAACATTTTCCGTTGACTGGAGAAAACCAAGCCAATTTGGCGGAAAATGACTTCCGCCAAATTTTGGCGGAAGTCATTTTCCGCCAATGACCAATAATGTTTCCGGCGGAAACCAGTGTTCTGGTTTCCGCCTGAAACCAAAGCTGTGGTTTCCGGCAGAAACCAGACCACTGGTTTCCGCCGGAAATCTTAAAAAAAAAAAAAAAAAAAACAAACAAACAAAAAACAGTGAGGAAGGGGAAGGGAAACAAAAAACAGTTCTCTCTGGTTCCTTCCGGCGAGGGAAACCAGAGAGAACTTCTCTTTGGTTTCCCTCGCCGGAACCTTCTCTCTGGTTTCGCCAGAAGAAACCAGAGAAAAGTCTGGGAAACCAAAGAGAAGTCATTCTCTCTGGTTTCCCTCGCCGGAACCGTTTTTTTTTTTAATAATTAATATTATTTGCTTTTAAAAAATAAATTTTATTATAATTTTTTATTTTAAATAAAATAACTAATTATATAAAATGGTTAATTATATAATTTTATCTCATTTTTCGAAAATGAACCAAACACACAAAGACTGTTTTCTGTCGTGCTGCCAAACACACGAAATGGAAAATGTTTTCTGAAAAATGACTCATTTTCCATAAGTCATTTTCCTGCTTTCCAAACGGACCCTAAATGTACAATTTAAATATGATGTGGTTGCAAGTGACCCAATGCAAGGTTAATTGAAAAAAAAAATGACAAATAGGGTCTAAATGAACAATTTTACTAATTTTGCATGTTTAATTGAGGCTTTAAAAGTTTCAATGTTGTTTCATCAATAGTTGAAGGTATATTTTATTTTTTTTCAATAAATAATATAAGAATAAGGATCAAATAAGTCACTGAACTGCACACCAAACTATAATTAGGCCATCGAATTAAAAAAAGATGCAATTAGGTCCCTAAACTATACAAATTTATGCAATTAGATCTAAAATGACCTGTTTACCTGCCATGTAAGTTGCAGATTTTAAAAATAATTTTTAAACTAATTTTAAACCAAAAAAAAAAAAAAAAAAAAAAAAAAAACCAGAACGGCCGTTCTGTTTTTTTTTTTTTTTTAAATTAATTTTTTTGTTTAAAATTATTTTAAAAATTATTTTTAAAATCCGCAACCTCCACGTCAGCAAAGTATTAGGTAAACAGGTCATTTTAGACCTAATTGCATGAATTTGTGTAGTCTAGGGACCTAATTGTACTTTTCTTAAGTTCGATGGCCTAATTGCAACTTGGTGTACAATTCAGTGGCTTATTCGACCCTTATTCCAATCTAAACTATAATAAAGCTATATGGTTTGGGAAGTAATTAATGTTACAATTAATGTTTCTTCCCAAACCATATAGTTAAAATTAATGTTACAATTAATTACCAACATTATTATTATTACTAGCTATAAATATAAAATAGCCACAACATCCTTTACTATAAAAAAAAAAAAAAAACACAACATTTGAAAAATAAAATAGCTATTTTTTTCTCGCCCATAACAAAGGATTACATTTATTGAATTAATGGAGTTATTAAATGTTATGATATTAGGATTAAGGATTCCGATTCCCGATTAATAGAAAATATGAAACGATGCATTATCAATTAAATCTCTAGCTTTACAATGAAAGTTTATTTGATATGCTTTTGTTATTTATGGTGCTTCTTGGGATTACAATATTAATTAAATTTTTGATGAAAGCTTATTCGATATCTGAAACAGTGCAATTAATGCAAGCCTCTACATATAATTTTTCTCACTCTCAAATGCTTCAAAGAAATGGCAGAAGCGAGAATGGATGAAGAAAGCAAATGTTGGGAGCCGTGGGTCAATTATTGGACTTCAGAATAAATAAAAAAATCATTTGAGCCATAAATAAAAATTTAAATATATATAAATGTATATATCGTATGAGTTTTAATGTTTTTCTGGATTTCTAAACTTAGGACTTTTAAAAGAAAAAAAATACATTTGAATTATCTCCACAAAAAGTGGTCTTGGACTAATAGAATGACATTTGGGTTTACGGAATGACACGTGCATAGAGAATATATTATATAATCATATAAGAAAAATATGTTCAATTAGAGTTTAAATTTACTCATACAAAATTTGAAATTTGCTTTCTAAATATAATTAAGAATAAATCAATGTAATTATGTAAATTCTCTCTATAAGTTTATTTGAATATGTACATAATTAGAGATTATATTAACCATACAAAATTTTAATTTTAATTTTAATTGTAATTTTGTATTCTATAAAAATAATAAATATTTGACCAATGAAAGCTCAAAAATATTATTATATTAAGTAATTTAAAATATTTTTTTTATTATTTTTTTATAATAACATAATTTTTTCCCGTGCATAGCGCGAGTGATAATTATTAAATAACAAAAAATTGATATATGAATAAACCTTTTTATAACATATTTTTCGTGCATCACACGGGACAAATACTAGTAATATAAAATAGGACAAAGTAGAAGAGCAAAATGGTGATACGACAGCGTATAGGCCTGTTGGTGGTTGGAACTTGGAAGGAATGGAAGCCTGGGATACCTTCGGCTTTGCGGCGGCTGTGGCGAGAAAATGAAGTGAGAAATGAGAGCAAATTTGGGGTTCTTGTCTTCATCCGTGAATCTAGCTTCCATACTATCCTGTGCGCCGCGCGCCACCGTAAGATTTACGCCATTGCTGTTGCGACGTCATCGATCTTTTCTACTCCATAAAGTTACAACCAGTGTTCACAACAGCCTACTC